GGGCTGGCCTCCCCCAGGCCAGTGTTCCCATCTCCTCCTGTACTTCTCTGCTGCCACCCTCACCATCCTCAGCCCAGTCCCCTGCCCTGGAGCTGGGCCTGCCACCCAAGCCCTGCTATAAATAACCGTTCAGGCCTCATCGGTCACAGCCCACGGTGGGCCAGCCCTAGCCCGCCAGGCCCAGAGGAAGCCAGTGGCCCCTCACAGGTCTCAGGCCAGGAGCTCCAGGGAGGAAACGCCAACTTCCCACTGATAGCGGCCCCCTCGAGTGGGCTGGCGGGCTGCTTCCGAGGGCCCGCTGGGCCAGTGGAGGAGTCCCAGTACTCACAGGGGGGACGAGGGGAAACCCTTCCATTGTGCACGCCTGTAACATCCAGCCGAGCTCGGAGCCTGTCAGATCCCCTGCCTCGGTGGGGGCCAGCGCGGGGCCCCTCAGGACGGGGTGCCCCGTCGGGGGGCTGGATGGCCGTAGGGCGGACGCAGGGCTCAGGCCTGCCCCCTGAGCTACAGGAGCCCTGGGTGAGCCCCCTCCCTCGACATTGCAGGGCCAGCGCAAGTTCCTGATTTTATCGAAGGGCCTGCCGCTGGGAGATAGTCCCCTTGGGGTGACATCACCACCCTAGCCCTTTGCATAAATCTCTTGCGCTACAGGAAGTCTCTGGCCTGCTGGGGCAGGTGGTGCTCAAGGGGCTGGCTTGGGAGGCCATGGGGGCCAGGCCCCCTGCCCAGAGGAAGCTGGGGCTGGGAAAGAGAAAGGCTGGCCACCACCAGAGGCCCGGCCGCCCCTCGCTCAGGCCCTGCGGAGGCTCTCTGTCCCGCAGCCCAGTCATGTCTATTCCTTGTGAGGCCCCTATGTGGTCGACGTTTACCTCCTTGGGGTCAGAGTGGTGGCATCTTGGGGCCTGTACTTTCTGGGGTAAGACTGGCTGGCTGAGGCTCTGAGCCCCTGACTGCCAGGCAGGCTGCCTGTGGCCTACACCCTGGCCGCCGGGGTCCTCCTGGTCTGGGGCGAGTCTCAGTTTCCTGACCCTTTGTCAATGCTTGAATATTGGTTTGGTTTTCCTAGTTTATAAACATTTATTTTTCTTTCCTTCTCCCTCTCTCTCTCTTTTGTACTGAAAATTGAACTCTCTCTCTCTCTCTCTCTCTCTCTCTACTGAAAAGTGAACCCTGGGGCACTTTACCACCAAACCATGTCCCCATTTTTATTTTTTATTTTTAGACATAGTCTTGCTAAGTTGCTGAGGCTGGCCTCCAACTTGTGATCCTCCTGCCTCAGCCTCCTGAGTCACAGGGATTATAGGCATGTGCCACTGTCCCCAGCATTTACAAACCTTTCTTGTCTGTCCATCCAATCATTTATTTCCCCATCCATCTAATTTATCTATCTATCTATCTATTCATTTATCTACCTATCAAGCCAACCATAAGTTTATTTACCTGTTTATCCAACTGTTCACTAAGTTTTTGATTTATCTGTCAATTCATCTACCTATTCATCTGTTTATCTATCTGTTCATCTACATGTCTATACATCAGCCCATCCATCTATTATCTATCAGAACTTATTAGCACCATATATCCATCTACCAATCTAGTCATTCATTGGTCTATCCACCCATCCACCCATCCAACTATCCATACATCCACCCATCCACCCATCCACCCATCCACTCATCCACCTATTCATCCATCCACTTATCCAACCCATCAGCCATGAGTCCATTCATCCTCCCAATGTTAATTGAGTTCCAGACTCTGTGCCAAGTGCTGGGAAACAGAAAGGTATTGTTCTAGCTTCCTGCCTTCAGAGATCTAGTCTGGGGGCGTGCGGAATGATGAACAGAGGCCTCGATTTTCACCAGTGACCTCTGGTGAGTCCACTCTGCTGGCAAAGAACTTGAGTATTCTTGTCTCCCCTGTGTAATCTCATCCTTTCCCTTAGGTCCCCTCCCTTCGGGGGATAGTCTGCCTCATTCCTGCCCATAGATTCCCAGGACCCTGAAAGTTCCTTCACAGTCAGCAAAGACCCGGGATTCACAGCCTGGGGCTCACCACGAGGTCAACCTCCCTTCCATCTTCACTGATTTTTTTTTTTTTTTTGGTATGTGCACTTGGGACTCTCCACAGGTCCAGGTCACAAGTCCTCAGAACTCCTAGGAACCTGACCAAGGCCCCTCCCTGTCTCTCAGGAGGGGGACAGCTGGCTTGGCGTCAGTCCATCCTGGCTCCTCACTTCCTCATCAGGAAGGCCCAGCCCCAGGCGAGGAGATGGTGGGGAATAAGGTCCTCCTCTCCATCATCCATTCATCCATTCATTTGCTCCTTATTGTCTTAATCTGATCTGGTTTTGTGCGTGTTACCTACAGGTAGGGTGGCCTGGGGAGGGTGGGGGCAAGCAGTTGGAAAAGAACATGGGGACAGCGAGCTGCCGTCCTTGTGGCCGGAAGCAAGGCCAACAGCCTCGAGAGCCAAGCCCAGGGGCTTCGTTACATGCAGAGCGAGGGCAGAGCTCTGCCCCTTTAGTGTGGACAGGAGGCCACGTTTCCAGGAGGATTAAGATTCGAGAGGTCCAAGGGGAAGAAGGAGTCCATTGTCCCAAGTCTGGCCAAGCCCAAGGAGCCTAGGAAAGGCAGACCAAAGAGACACCCAGGTGGCTGGGGTGTGGCTGGAGGTGGGCCACGAGCTCAGCAGGCAGGAGGCCCTAGGTTCCGGGAGAGAGAAGCTCAGGGCCGAACATTCTGGAAGGGGCCAAATGCCCCCCGCCCTGCGCCCTGCGAGCTGCTCCCACCTGTGGCCACGCAACCTTCCCGCCCTCTTCCAGCTCCCGCCTCCTGGAGGACAACAGAGGCCTCTTCCCCACATCCCCGGGGACCTGCTCCTTCCTATTCAGATCCTTGGGAAGAGCAGGATCCAGATTCCCAGGAACTCCGAGTAGATCCTGGCGGTGGAGGTGGGGGGTTTCAGGGCCACCCCAGCCCGAGCCCAGGAAGCTGAGCTTCTTTGACTTCAGATATTTTCCGGCTAGGTCTGTCGGGGCGTGACCCCATCCTACACCCTGGAACACTGTTCTGTGATACTGTTCATCCTGAGAGACAGGAGAGTCTGGCCATCCACAACCCCAGGGTTAAAAAGGACGACGTCTTGTTTGCGTGCCTGACAGGCCAGGATCTCACGGGCCCAGGAGATCAGAGACCCCAGCAGAGTCCCACAGCCTGCAGGGGCTCCGGCAGGGCTCACCGGGGAGGGAGGCAGGCAGAAGGAAGGGGGAGCCCTGAGGCAGCCGAGGCAGGGAGAGAGCAGGAAAGGCAGGAGCAGAGAGGAAGGGAGAGAGAAAACAGAACTGACAGGAGCAGAGAGCCCGGAGAGCTGCCCAGGGCCAAGGGCCAGACAGGAGAGAACAGGCAGGGACAGGGGAGGGGAGGTGGGGAGGGGGCACAAGAGGCAAGGTGGGGGACACGGACAGCAGAGGCCAGGAGGCGGTGGCACTCAGGGCATGGCCCCAGCCTCCTTCCTGTACAGCGAGACGAGTGGGAGTCGGGGTCTGTGACTCGCCAGACGTCACCAGGTACACCTTGCCAGAATGTGGCTCTGGTCGTTCTGGTCGGAAGGAAACTGGCTTGGAACCAGGAATCCTGGGGTCTCCAGGGAACAGAGGAAGAAAAAATGTTTTCATTATTTTATTTCTGGGATAGATAATACAGACACGTGGTACAAAACACCAAGAGCACAAAGGTCAGCAAGTGCTCAGTTCCTCTTCCACAGACGGTCTCCCCTGTTACCTGGTCCTCTTGTGTCCATTTAGAGATGGACTAAGCAGACATAAGCATGTAGATAGATAAAGTCAATGTTCTATTTTATACAGAAGGAATCACACTAAACACATTATACTTCCCCTTGTTTCTTCTCCCCTAAATCCATTCCATATTAATGATTACAGAGCTGTCTTGCCCTTCCTTAAGGACTGTATAGTATTTTACTGTTTAGATGTACAGAGAAGGTCCCTTCCTTATGATGCTTCAATTTAGGATTTTTTGATTTAATGGTTCGACTTGGGATTTTTTGACTTCACGATGGTATGAAAAGGATGGTACGTTCAGTAAAAATTTCTACTGAAGTTCTTCAAATGTTGATTTTTTTTTTTCCTGTGTTGGGGATTGAATCAAGAGGACTTTACACTGAGCTGCATCCCTGGTTCCTTTTTGTTTTTGAGACAGGATCTTACTAAATTGCTGAGCTGACCTTGAACTTGTGATACTCCTGCCTTAACCTCCAGAATAGCTGGGATTACAGGTGTGCACGGTGCTCAGCTTGAATTTTGAATCTTTTTTTTTTTTTAAACATTTACTTTTTAGTTGTAGATGGACACAATACCTTTATTTTATTTATTTATTTTTATGTGGTGCTGATGATCAAACCCAGGGCCTCACATGTGCTAGGCGAGCGCTCCACCCCTGAGCCACAACCCCAGCCCCAGAATTTGGAATCGTGATACGCAATCCGAGATTCTCCAGATGCTGCAGTGGCAGCCACTACAGTCCTCGGTCACCACAGGATCTTGAGGGTGAAGGCTGAGCTACAGTGCACTGTGTTGCTGAGCTAGGACAATTGCATTTTTTACTTAGTTTACCAGGATGCAGAGGAGCATCTGTGCTGTGATGTTTTGGGGGGGACAGTGTCTTGCTATATTGTCTGGCTATCCTCAATTCTTACCTCAAGAGATCCTTCTGCTTCAGTCTCTAAGTAGCTGGAACTATAAGTGTGTGTCCCCTCCTTAGGGCACATAAAATATTTATGCACAATTTAATTATAAAGCTAACACTATGTAAACATTATCCAGGTCAAGAAATGAAACATTGGGCTGGGGATATAGCTCAGTTGGTAGAGTGCTTGCCTCACATAGACAAGGGCCTGGGTTCAATCACTAGCACCACCAAAAAAAAAGAAAGAAAGAAAACATTGCCGGGCATGGTGGCGCACACCTGTAATCCCAACAGCTCAGGAGGCTGAGGAAGGAGGATCTCAAGTTTGAGGCCATTCTGAACAATTTAGCAAGACCCTAAGCAACTTAAGAAGGGTTGAAGGTGTGACTCAATGGGAAAGCACTTGTCTAGCATATATAAGGCCTGGGTTTGACCCAGCACTGGGGAAAGAAAAAAAAAATGAAAAAAATAAATAAAATTTTAAAAAATAAATTAGGAAAAGAAATAAAAGATTGCCAGGACCCAGAGCACCTCAAACCTCCCTTTACTTCTGTCCTAGGTTTTTTTTAGAAATTATTTCCTTACACTTTCCCCGCTTGGTACTGTGCAGGACCCGGGTCGGGTGCGTGCCAGCCGGGAGCCCTCCCGTGAGCTACACCTCCGCTCCCACCCCTTACTTTTCTTTATGAGCATCTCTAACGTTGTAGCTTAGTTTTTATCTGAACAGATTTGAGTCTTGAGAGGAAGAGAAGGATGGTGTGCACAGCCTCTGGGGTCCGGCTTCTTCTGTCACAACCTGCTGTGTTCACTCTCATTGCTGGACCCTTTTCCAGGGTCATAATCTCTGTAATCAGTCCCCTATTGATGGGCACGTGGGTGTCTCCAGTCTTCTGCTGCTGCAAATAAGGCTGCAACCAATAAAATGTGGTAAATTACACACGTGCAGGTTTATACATAACAGGCTTATGTTTGGGATAAATTTCCAAAAGTTGAATCACCAGGTTGAAGGGCTGCGCACTTCTAACTTGATGACAGACCGGTAAGTAGATAGCTATTGTCATATGACCTTAATAACTTTGTACCTCTTACCCTCCTACCAGCAGTGCCTGTCGGTGATCTTTCCCCACCCTGTTGGACAAGTGGGTGACCTGCAGAGTGACACGGAGGCCAGGCAGGCCTGGGGTGGGGTGGCCCTTTGCCCCCACTGGGCTGGTGGCCAATGGGAGTTGGCTGGGTGCTAATGCAATTGCAGGGGAGGCAAGCAGCAGGAAACGGGCAGGCATCCCCAAAGCTTGAGTCCACAGAGGGGAACCTGACCCCGGACCTCACAGACCCCTCACCCTCGGCCTAAAAGACCTGGGAAATGAGGAAATGTCACCCCTCCTATTTTCCTATGAACCGTCCCCCAGGAGCTATGACAGCGCATGTTCAAAAACGCAGGCCTCACGCCCAGGGCTGGGAAAGTTGGCCCAACCGAGCTGAGCCTGGGCAGGGAAATGGCGTGCACCGAGATGGCTGTCTTGCAACTTCCTCTCAGGGTTGAGACACTTGGGAAAAGGACCCTGGGGCCCCAGCCTGGGTCACTAGGGCCCCTCAGCGCTCCCCAAACTTTGGTCACAGCACTGCTGGCTTCTTAGAGCATGAAGATGGCCAGCAGATATTGGCCAGGGCCTTCACATGCCGGCTGACAGGGGAGGAAGGCCTTTGCATCCCTGCCTTCAGGGTGCCTGCTCTCCGGCAGGAGAGGAGCCAGGGACACAGTAGATGGCGTGTGTCCCCGCATGCAGAAAGTAATGGCCACTAGAGAGGAATCCCATGACGCTGGGAAGGGGGATCATCGCAGCTGGGAGAAGCCTGGACTGCTTCCCCAGGGTGTGATCTCTCCTATCCAGGGAGGGCCTCCTCCAGAAGGTCACCTTTGAGCAACCCCTAGAGGCAGCTGGGGGAGGGCACCCGGCAGTGTCTGGAAGGAGAGTTCCAAGCAGGGCCCAGCTAGCGCCCATGTCCCAGAAGGGTGAGGTGGTGGTCCCTGGGAACAGAGCCAAAATGGCAGGGGGTGAGGCCAGACAGGGCCAGGTCGGGTAGGACCTCGAAGGGGGCAGTGTGGGATTTGGTTTTAACTCCAAGATCAAAGGGCCCACTGCAGGGTGCGTTCGCTCCTATCCGAGTCTAAAGCTGGTGCCATGATCATCCCTCGGGTACAGATGCGGCCACTGAGGCTCAGAAGTGGCTCAGTCAATCCAGGCCTCAGGGAGATGCACGCTCAGGTCTGCCTGAGACCTTGACCCTCGCTGGCAACCACGGCAGATGCTCCTGAAGCGCAAGCCAGGCTGGCCCCTACTGTCTACCTGCCTTGGCTCCTTCCCCCCTTGTTCCTGGGGGGCAGACCTGATCAGTGGCACCTTACAGATGAGGGAGATGCGGCCCAGGGAGGTGAGGGGGCTTGCCCAAGGGCACGTGGCTGGCAGTGGGGCCAGAGCTGCTGCAGAGTGGCCCGAGGGCCTGTGTTCTCGAGCTAAGCCTGTGGGTCTCTTGCGGGTATTTCCCCAGGAGTCTTCCTTAGCTCTCAGCCTCTAAGCCTGCGCTGGGCCTCCAACACGGGAGCTGGCAGCCTCCCCCTCCTCCACCCCATGCAGCCCCAACCCCACCCCAGCCAGAAGGCGCTGCTCAACATTCCCAGAACCTCTTTCTCAATCTCCCACAGCCTTGGCTCACAGGCCCACGGCCTTCCACACCCCAGGGCCTCTCTTTCAAGGCTCACCTCCTTCGGGCTGCCTCCTCAGACTGCCCCCTTCCCGGTTTGCCCCATCTCTCCTCAGTCTCTCCTTCCTCTCGGGTGCCCCAGCCCTGCAGCCCCAGGCACAAACCCCCAGAGCACCTGCCTCCTCAGAGTCCTGCCTCCTCAGAGTCCAGGCGCTGGGATTTGAAGCCCCCCCTCCACCACACCCTTGTCTCGGGCTGACCAGGCCTACAGATGGGGCGCTCACCTCCTGGCCACATCACTCAGCCTCCGGCACCTCAAACCCACCGCCACCCACAGCGACTTCCGTCTGCTCACCACGGGCAGCACCACACCAGCTCACTGAGGAGGAGCTGCTTCCCCACCCAGACCCTCCTCTGTGGAGCCCCCTCTGCCATCCTCTGCCCTCTAGGTCCCCTGGTCTCTATGCTCACCAGGATCTTCCCCCCAGAGATTGGCCACAAGGCCTCTGGGGAGTTCGTCCCTCTCTCCAGAGCTCAGGCACCCTGTTCTACAGGTCTTGGAGTAGTGCTAGGTCAACTAAAGGCTACTCTGTGCAAGCCTTTACCTGGTATACAGTAGGGTTCCAATTAGTGCATGTTGGAACTAAAGTCCTTCCTTGGTTGGCCTTTATAAATGCTTACTGAGTCCTGCAGAGATTGGTCTTCACCTCTGAAGACCTTCAATACTATCCCTGACCCTCCTCTCTCATTCTGTGGCTGAGGGCAAGACACTTCTTGGGGCCTCAGTCTCCTCATCTGCAAAATGGGAACAATAACGGGACACACCTCATGGGCCCGTGAGAACGCAGGTATGATGTATGTGTGTGACCAGGTGCCTGCCAGAGAGAAGGAAGCTCAGCCCTGTCCCCAGGGCTCAGCATCTCAGTCCTCAGCCCCTTGGAGCTCCCACCCCAGGCCTCTCCACTGCTCCTGGGAAAAGCAGAAATGTGGGGAGCCAGGAAGCTGGTAGAGCAGAGGCCTGAGACAGCTTCTCTGCCCATTGGACAAGGCCCCACCACCCTGGGGGTCAAGGCTGCACGTCTCTCTCACCCTCCTTGAGCAACCAGCTATTGGGAGGAGAGAGCCAGCCCAGGAGAAGGGCCGGGGTAGGGACTCTGTGGTAGGACAAGCAAAGCTCTTTGAAAAGAAAAAAAACTAAGAGTTACTGAGTTCCGCTGTAGGCTCAGAGGCCACGGGCAGGAGTTATCTCCATTTTAAAGACAGAAACCAGCTCAGGGTGGGTGCTTCCATGTGCTCCAGGCCACACAGGGACTAAGGGCCAGAATCAGTATTTAAGCCCAGGCTTGTCTTACCCGCAAACCTGAGTACGGCCCAAAGCTGCCTTAGATCTATGAGTGTGGAGGAGGTGAGCGGACTCTAGTGGGCCACTGAGATGGTTGCCGAATTCATCTTGGAGTCTACGGGGCCCAAGGTCAGTGCAGAGTGGCCCAGAGGTCTGGCTAGGGCTGGGGGCAGCCAGGGTGCTGGAGCAGGAGGCCAGACCTGGAGGAGTTAACTGCATGAGGGGCCTGAGTGAATCAGAGGCTCCGCAGGCTGCGATGGAAATTCCCTGTGCATGGCGTGTGTGGTCACCCAGAAAAGGGAAACGGTGCTTTTCGGAGCAGAGGACAGCGGGGGCTGGAGCCCGGGAGCAGACGCCTGGCCGGGTGGGGCTGGCAAGTGTTTTAGGACCAAGGAAGCCTCTCCTCTGGGTCTGTTCCAGGCCCTAGGAGAGAAGTGGAGGTGAGGAGCCACCAGGCCAGGCGAAGCCTGGTCGTGCTATGGCATGTCCATGGGCCTTGACAGATGGGCAGGAGTTCACAGCAGGGACCGGCCCTCCAGGCCATGGGAGCCGAGAAGCCAGGCACGGGGCTGTGACTCAGCACTGAGCCCCGATCCACCCTGCTCTTGCTGGAGAACTCCTTCCTGTCCTTCAGGGCCCATCCCAATAGCAGTGCTCCCCCCCAGGCAGCGTCCCACGGCCTCAGTTTCTCCCTTGAAGCTCACAGGACTTGTCTGCAGTCCCCATAGGACTATGGGTTCCCCAAGGGCAAGGGCCGAGCCCTAGCTGTATAGACAGCTCACACCCAGGACCGGCCTGGCTCCAGGTATTTGTGACAATTCACAAGATTGAAATCTGCGGCTCAGAGAGGAGAGGTGGGACTCCGTGGGCCAGCTGCCTGCTGCAGGAGGCGCTCACCCAGGGGTTTCCCTCGGCGGGGATGTGGCCAGAGGGAAGGAATGGGGCAGGGCCTGTGGCAAAGGCAGGGGCCAGTGGGCACTGATGGCAGGGCCAGGGAAGGCCATGTGCCCTGGGGTCCGAGGCCTGAGCTCCAGACACCTCTGCTCCATCCTTGTCACAGTGCTGGGAAGTGTCCACCCTTCCGGGAGAGAGAATGAGGTACACAGTGGAGCCAGGGGTCAGAAGAGGGAGGCCGTGGGTTTAGATTTTCCTTGTGGAATCTAGAATCTCAGTCCAGACCCTTTAGCCGCAGACCCATGGTCCCCCCTGAGCCTCAGTTTCCATCTTATGACGGAGATGACAGAACAGGCCTTTTCTGAGGGGAATACAGATGGAGGGGAACTGTCAACCTCGTGTCAACGCGAGGGACACTGCCACCAGGGATGGTCATATGCTCTCTCTCCCTGTCGCTGCTGCAGCACCAGCCGATCCGCCAGCTCCTAAGCAGTGTTGAGCTGTGGTCCCCACCCGTGTCCATCTGTCCCCACCCAATCTGCCCTGCACAGGGGCCTACAACCCACACCTGCCTGATGAGGGGGCTGACAACGAGTAGGGTGATGGCCTCCCGCCAGAAGCAACCCTCAGATACCAGAGGAGCACACCCCATCTCCTGACCCCCTACTTGTCTGCTGTGAAGGTCAAAGGCACCCAAAGGAGCCGCCCTCAGGCAAGGGCCAGCAGCATGGCGCCCATTGGGTTGGAGCTTTTCCAGTCATGAAGGGGAACTGAGAACTGTGGGAATGTGCCTCGTGCAGACGGGGGTGGGCTGGGTCCAGTGTGTGTGGTGCGGGGGCGGGGAGCTGCTTCAAGGAGCTCACACTTACAGGGTCCTGGGGTAAAGAGGAGCAGGGCAGCCCTGGGCAGGTGGCTAAGGGGTTGGGGGTCACCATGGGGTAGCTTCAGGTTGTCCAGAGCTGGCCAGGCAGTAGGAGGTTGGGGTGCTGTGTGGGAAGGAAAGAGGAAGCCATGGGGGGGCACTGCCGGGGATGGAGTGGGAGTGGGGGCTGGGGGCCTGGAGCCACTTTGGCCACAGCTACTTCACTTCTCCGGGTTTCGGTTTGTAAATAGCTGCTGGCTCTGTGCAGGCAGGATGGGCCCTGTCCCTTCTGTGGCCTGTGTCCAGGGAGGCCCAAGTTTCAAGAGCTGCAGATGCTAAAACATAGAAATTTGAGGACCCAAGGAGGCTTCGAGCCTATTAGCCTTTGGCCTGGGTGGGTGGGTTCTGGGGTCCACCCTGGGCAGCCCAACCTGTGGTCACTGAAGTGATGCAGCTGGGCCAAAGTTCTGCAGAATTGATGACTTGGCCACATGGGGCTTATTTATAACTGGGCCTTTGTGGCCAGAAGCAGCTGCTGTGCCGCAGACTCAGCACTCAGGCTGGCCGCGGGCACAGGATGGTAAGGGCCAGCCTGGCCCAATGGCCCCTCAGCCTGGGCCTCAGGATCTGTGGGACCTCTGAGGCCTCTTTGGCTGGGCCCGGTCCCTGTGCTATGATGGTAGATCTTGGGATTTAGGGGGAGCTCCTCATGGGGCAGGCATCTCAGAACGTCCTGGACCAAGGGGGTGGCTGGTTCAATCAGTGGACTGGTCAGGCCCCAGGGGCTTGCTTGGGCCTTGGCCTTTCTGCGAAGATGTTCCTCCTCCAAAGGCCAGACGCCGTCAGCAAACTCAACAAGAAGCAAAGTCATCTCCCCTCCCTTTCTTGCAATATCAGCTTAAAACAAAACAAAACAGATTCAGGAAGACGGCAGCACTGAATCCCAAGACCTGACCCTAATGATGACCCTCTAGGCAGACTGACAGGTGGGGAAAGGCACAGGTCTCCAAGGCCCCCCCGTGTCACACTCCAGGGGCCTCCATCCCCTTAGCAGACGGGAAGCCTGGCCCTGCCCCCATCCTGCACATGACCACCAGTCTTCCTTTGATGGGGTGTCAGACCCTTTCCTGGGGTTCGCCGGGATGAAGAGGTTCCTACAACCTTCCTCCCATGTTTGAGTCCTTCTGAATCAACTTGTCGCCCGCTATGTCCCTCTGTCCCTCCACTCTCTCTGTTCACATTGGTCCTGGCCCCCATTGCCAAGCCTTGTTTCAGCCTGGCCCCCACCTGGCATGTGCTCTCCTACCCCCTCCAGCCTCTCCAGTCCCCCTCCCTAGGTCTTCCCCACACCCCACCTGGGAGGCCCAGCCTCAGTGCCGTCCCCAAAGCTTCGCCTCTTGGGAAGTAAAGTTCAATGAGTGGGCAGAAATGGGCTAGGATTCCACCTCCTGGTGCCATGTACTAGAAAAAGAAAAAGAGGCCTGAGTGGGTGAGAGGTGGCCAGCGGCGCTCAGCTCCAGACAAAGCCGAGCCCAGAGCCACGTGCCCTGACTCCCAGCCTGGAGCTCTCACCCCTGGACCTTTGGCCTCCTGGACCACTGCTCGGCCCTGCCTGGCCCCTTCCCCTTGGTGGAAGCTGTTGGGGAAGGGAGGGGTAGGGGCTTCATGTGGGGCGAACTCAGGCCATCTACTGCCCAGGTCTGGGGCCTGGGGGGTTGTGGGCCCACTTAGGCTCCTCTGGGCAGGGTCAGGGTGCCCAGCCTGGAGCCGCCCTGGCTGCAGCTGCCCCTCTTTCCACATCGGCAGCAGCAAGGCCGGCGCCTGAGAAAACAGGAAGCGCTCAGTCACCACAGGAAGCATGTGTGCACTGCCTCCCCACCCCCGGCCCATTGCAAAACGCCAACAGCCCCATTACCACAGGCACCGCACAGGGGCTAGGAGAAATGCTCCTGCCACCTTGCCTGCCGAGGAGCTGGACAGACTCCCCCCGTGGGCCAGGCCTCAGAGCGCTGTCCAGCTGCGACCTGGAGGAGCCCGGAATCTACCTGGGGACCAGAGCCTCAGGCCTTCCTTCCTCTGGATTCTCAGCCCAATCCCCAGATGGGCCTAAGCCAGGCCTACTTTGGCTACCCTTTAATCCAAATACGGGGTCAGGGGTCACAGAGAAACCATTCTGTGACCTACTATTTGGCATTTGAGGGCTGCCAGGCCTTCAGACATGACAAGGCCTGTTCCCAAGCCTTACTGAGGCGTTGACCCAGAGCCCTCCACCCCCACCACCCTAGGGAGCCTGCTGCTGCCAAATCCACACCTGCCTCACTCTCTGCCCAGGCAAGACGCTGCCTGCCCCTGAAGGTCCTGCCTTTGAGAGCTGGGTCCCTCCCCTTCCTCCCCTTGCTGCCCAACTCACCTCGGTTTCTGGCCCCTAGGCCCAGCCCTTGGAAGGAGACGGGAGTCCAGCAAGGTTGAGGCCGGGTGCCTGGGAGGCCTGTGTTCCTCCAGCCCCGGGGGACAGCAAGGAAAAGAGAAGAGAGCAGAGCATTTCATGGCTATAATAAATCAAAGGGGGAAGTCAGAACAGGAGAAATAAGAAACTTCCCTAGCCTGGGCACAGGGACCTGCCAGGCAGCAGCCCCCAGACACCCCAAGGCCTCCCCTCCTTCCTCCTGCCTCCCTAGCCAGCACCCAGATCTCTCCTCTGGCGCAGGTGCCCCACCTGCCCAGAGACCCTCCCTGGGCATCCAGTGACCCTGTTCATGGTGATCCCTGGACCAGGTGCCTCTGTGCTCAAGTTTCTTCCTGAGAGGCACAAAAATCTCTGGGTCGTGCTGGTCAGGGGACATGAATGTAGGCTGCCCAGCAGAGAGGCATGAAGATAGTGACCACTATGAACCAAAGACCCTCAGAGGACGAAGGGAGGGGAGGGGCCTCTGAGAACTGCCATGAGACTGTCGGGGCTGTGTGAACATGAGTCTGTGAGAGAAGAGAGCACTTCTCTGAGCAGAAGCTGGGCTGGCCCCAGACTGTGACAACAGGCAGGGTCTCTACCTCAGCCCTGTCCCTCTTCTTCTCCCAAGCCCTGGGGGCCTGTGGTCCACAGTGCGCGCGCGGGTATACACAGCCACAGAGCAGAACCACGGCCTGCTGCCCTGGCCTGAAGTGTCCACTCGGGTAGAAGACCGAGAGGGGAAATTTTTTAAAAAAGGGTCGGGATCCCACTATTATTATTAAAGAAAAGGTTGAAAACTTTTGTGAGTTTCTAGGTAAAATCAGAAATTTCAGACAAATTTTGGCTAGTTTTAGGACCACTATGAACCATGTCCCCTACGCCCCTGAGACATTCCTCCTGCTCCTTGGCTATCGGCAAGCAAAGATGGAGGCTCCAGATGCCTCTACTTGAAGCTGTCCTGAGATGGTGAGCTCACTCCCTCACTCCAGCTCTCTGCTCTCACTGAGCCACCTCTCCTCCTGATGATATCTCCTAAGTGCCACCAGCCTGAAGCTCTTGGGAGGGTGTGGCAGGCATGGGGACACCCTGAGGCTCTGTTTCCTAGTCGGAGGACAGGGAGCACACCACTGTAGGCAGTGCCTACAGGAGTCCAGGCTCTGGAGCATGTGTAGTGAGTGACCCTGGACAAGCGACTTCACCTCTCTGAGCCTCAGTTTTCCCCATTCGAATGACTAAGTCGAAAGTTTGCAATGAGGGACAAATGAGAGGTTGTGGAATGGGGCCTCGGGTGATCGTGTGGCCAGCATCACACCACAGTCCCCCTCCTGCCTCCTCCCAGAAGTCCCCACTTCCTCCCTCTGCTCCCTCTCACCTGCCTGAGTCAGGTGAGAACCTTGGCTCCCTTCGGTTCTCTAGCACCCCAGGGCCCCTGGCCTCACCCTGACCCTTCCTAGTCTGGGACAATGCTGGAGCTGAACTTCTCGGCTCCCACCCAAGGGACTCCCTCCTTGAGAAAAAAACCTTGGAGGCCCCAACTTCTGCCCTGGCAAGGGCTCCTCCCTTTCAGCCAGGACTGTTTTAACAGCTGGTGGATTCATCAGGCAATGTCTTAATTTTTGCATCTGCAAGATTATCTGCCTTTCTCAGATGAGAAGACTGGGGTTCAGAGTGGCTGGTGCCAGGTCATCTGGCTAGAGAGGAGCAGTTTTCAAATGAGAACTCAGTTCTCCAGTCAGCCAGCCGCACAGAAATTCTATGTGAACCATAAGTAGAGTGGCGCCTCTTCTCATCTGGAGAGCAACTTGGAACTTTTGGAGGGTCACTACCACCCAGGCCCTTGGCCACTCCGCTTCTCAACCATAGCACTCGTTCCAGATTCTCAGACTTCTCCTGATCCAAGCTGGAGGATGTCAGAGTTGGAAAAACTCCAGCCTCAGGCGCCCATGAGAACAAAGAGTATAAAATCCAGAAGGGTGAGCAGCCTCCTGGTTTATGCCCTTGGCTCCCCACCCTGGGCATGCACACCGTGGGCCAGTAGCACTTAACCTCAAAAGTGACAAAGCAGCATTCCCTGTGGCTAGAACCGGACGAATGTTTGCGGCTTTCAATCCCAGGTCTGCATCTGAGAACCGAGTCACTGGATGGGGGACTTGACCCTAATGTAAGGAGAAAAGTGAGTCCCCTGGTGTGGAGATGCTGCAGGAGGGACATTGGCTTCCAACAGCCCAGAGTTGGTCCCCCTCCTTGCACACTCTCAGCTGGGACCCGGATTACTCCCACGCCACAGGTGAGGGAGTCGGGGAAGGAGGCTGCTCAAGGGCCTTCTGGGGATGAGCCAGGAGGTGGCGGCTGGCCTGTGAGTGGCTGGGGTGCCTCGCGTGCAGAACAGGACCACAGCCCTGATCAGAGGCCTGTACTCGCCGGCCCCTGTTCTATCCCAGCGGCGTGGGGGAGGGGAGATGGGGCTCCTACCCCCATTTTCCCGCCGAGATAACCGAGGCGTGGAGCCCGGCTGTCACTTGTCACTTGTCCCGAGCGGGGCGGTAGGCTGGCCCCCACCCCCACCGTTCCCCTGGCTCCCGGGCCAGGATGCCCAGCTGGGTGGGGGGGCTCGCCGGGCGAGGTGCGGGGGCGGGGAGGCGGCGCCCCGCACCGTCTCGCCGCAGGACCGACCTCGGCCCTTATCTGCTCCGGCAGCTTCCGCCCCCGCCCGCCGCAGGCCTGGCCCCGCCCCCGCCTCCGGAGCCGGACCCAGGGCCCAGGGGAGCCGAGCTGCGGCCGCTGCTGCCCAGCCGAGCGCACAGCGCCGGCCCCCAGGTGGGCAGCGGAAGTGATCACCCGGGGCGCCCCCTCCCTGCCCGGGATGCCCACCCCAGCCCCGCGAGGGCTCCCGGCCAGGCCGCCCGCCCCATTGGAGTGGGAGGGGTCCCTTGAAGCCCCAGGGACACGAGGAGCGGTCGGTCTATACCGGCTCTCGGGGCCCAAGACCCCCCCCCCCCCACACACACACACACACTGTGTCCACTAGCGAGGTCTTCCGAGTGGGAGGGGAAAGAGAAAGGTGAAGACACCTGAGAGAAAGTGAAAAGCAAGCCACACCACAGACTAGGATGTGAGCCCTGCACCAGGGGGGCGGGTCCACCCCAAAATCCATGCAGAGTTCTTGCCCATCTTTCAGAAAAAGAGCAAGGGATCCAAGAGAAGCACAGAGAAAAGCCACGAGGAGGCAGAAACAGAAGAGGAGACACATTGTCCAATAAACATCTTAGGGATGCTCAACGTCCCGGTGAGGAGGGAAATGCAAATGAAGACCACCTCGAGATGCTATTTTACACCATTAGAAGGGCAAGAGTAACCAGGCTGGCAGCACCCAGAGCTGGAGAAGAGGCGGGGCACAGGAGGGCCCTGCGCTGCCAGTCAGAGCGCAACTCCAGATAACCACTGGGGAAAACAATCTGGTTGTATCTTACAAAACTGAAAGATAGCAGAGGCTGTCACCCAGCAAACTCTCCCAGGCATAAAATCCAAAGAGGCTCTTGCACATACTCTGAGAAACACACACAGACCAGAATGTTCACAGCTGCATGTTTTTGAATAGAGTGGAAATAACCAAGTGCCCATTAACGAGAGTGGATAAATAAATTACAGTAGATTGACTCAAACAATGGCACACCATTCAGCAGAGCAAGCAAAGGACCCACGTGGCACACAACATCAGGAGTGACCCAGTACCTTAGTATGCAGTGGAGAAAGTCCCTGAAGACAGGTCTCCTTCTGGTGAAGTTCAAAACCAAGCCAAATCATATCTTTATAAATAATAGTGTGGTTCCTTCCAGTCCTTTTGCTATTAGCGGAGGAGATGATTATCTTGAGCCTAAAAGACTCAAGGCTATCTGTTGAGAAACTATTAGACCCTGAAAATGTAATTGGTTTATAAGGTAAAAAAGGAATGCATCAAGGGCTGGAACTGGGGCTCAGTGGTAGTGCACTTGCCTGGCATGTGTGAGGCATTGGGTTCGATTCTCAGCAAAACATATAAATAAATAAAGTAAAGGTCTATCAACAACTACAAAAATAAATTAATAAATAAAGGAATACATCAAAATAATCTGCCTTCTTGTACACTACTGAGCCATTCAAAGTGTAATGGGAAATCAGCTTCTCAAAATATCCACAAAAATGTAAAGTAACTAGAAGTAAATTTGTTAATAATTATTCAGGACTCCTGATATGAAAGAAAATTGCAGAGCAGTTTTTTTTTTAAAAAAAAGAAAAGCTAAATCAAAATATTGCCTAAACATACATATACGTGTGAGAAAACTAAAAAGAAGTGCAGCATGAGGGTGTGACTCGGTGGCAGGGCACTAGCCTAGGATGCATGGGTCCCCCCTCCAGAACTGGAAAAGAAAGTGAAGGACCAATCAGATCATTCCAAAATTCAGGTTCCCTCAAACAGGAGTCAAGGAGATTGGGGGTGGGAGGCTATAACAAGTGAGCAAATATGTAAAGAAACACAGAAATTAAATTAAAAAGGGCCCCACAAAGGGCCAAGATGAGAGTGGAATAGATGCACAAGGATATCACACCAATTTGCCTACCTGTGATAGGCGCCTGGGAAAGGGAGGACTGAATGGATATGTATAGACTTTTATTCAGAGTGTGGGCAAAAGCTTGTCCGTTTTCCAAGAGCCCACACTGGCAGGACAAAGAGGAAGCCTATGGATACAGGGCCCCAAAGACAGGCACTGAGGGTCTTCAGGCTGCGTGGACCAGAAAGGCTTCAGAGAGAGGCAGGATTTCAATTCACAGAGCTGGTGAAGAGCACTTCCCAGGCCTGCTGGGGTGAGATGAGGCTCCACTACTTGCAAAAGCAGAGAGCCTGCCTTAGCAAGTAGTGTGAGCTCTTGGGCATCATGGAACCGTTGCTGAGTGGCAGGGGGAGAGGTGGGGGCCTGCAGAGTCACTGGGCAATGTCTGGTTCAGGATTCAGGAGAGGAAGCACCCCAGGAATGCAGGAGGATGGCCAGGCCCCTCCGAGAAGAACAACCTGAGAAAGGTTCCAGAAAGGCCTATCCCTTTCAGAAAGGCCAAGTCTGAGTCCTGGGGGAGAGAGTGCCTGTGCCTCTTTTTGGCTCACCTCTCTGAGAGCCAGGTGCCTTTCTGTAAGAGACTGCCACCTACCCGCTGATCCCCACAGAAAGCCCTGAGACAAGAAGGTGGACTGCTTTCTCTTGGGAGGCTACACTCCGGAAGCATTCTCACAGCCACTGTCTGGTCAGCAGGCTCAGGGGTGGTCCACCTTCTGGGAACCTTTTCGAGGGCAGAAGTCTTCTTGCCCCCCAGAGATCCCCAGTAAAGCTGCCAGAGAAAGGAACAGCATTTAAATTCAGATCCAAAGGAACAGCATTTAAATTCAGATCCGGGCATCCCAGAGTGGAGTGAAGAAATGAATTTCCAACTTCCAAATCCCAGACACCTCCTGGCCATACAGAGCCATGCCATGTCTAGGCCCATCCCATCACCTCAATCCAGGAAATCCCTGAGGCCCCCAAATCACTTGATAAATGTTTCAGAAAATGCTCATTTGTGCTTAGCAGGGAGAGGAGATGGTGATCCCACCCTGTCTAATGTATCTATTCTTTTCGTTGCTTTTACATTTTCTTTATAGCCATATATTCACACACCTAAAGAATATTAGTATGCTGCCAGGTGCAGTGACACAGGCCTGTAATCTCAGTGACTTTGGAGGCTGAGGCAGGAGGATCAAAAGTTCGAAGCCAGCCTCAGCAACTAGGAGAGGCCCTGAGCAACTTAATGAAAACATATCTCAAAATTAAAAAATACAAAATGGGATGGGGATATGGCTCAGTGGTTAAGTGCTCCTAGGTTCAATCTCTGAAGAAGAAGAAGAAGAAGAAGAAGAAGAAGAAGAAGAAGAAGAAGA